CAGCTGTCTTAACCGTGGCTTGTGTACTGCAAACACATACCAGCTTCATCACTGTGTTTGTCACGCGACTCTGTTCCCCTTTCGGGCTTGAACTGATGGTAAAACTAATGACATTATTTACTGTCTTTACATTTATTTTGAAAGATGAAGCTCGCGATTATGGTAAGGGGCGTTACATTTCCGACGAGTGCTTGCGGTGTTCGGCCAATCACAATGCACTGGGTCAGCTGGCTAATCAGAGCAGACTGCGCTTGTCGGAAGGAGGGACTTTGTAGAAAACGAAGCGTTTGAGAGAGGCGGGGCATAGAGGACCTACAATAATGTACAGTATTTGAAAAATAATGTGTTTTTTGAACATTAAAGCATGTCAACATATTCTGTTACACCAAATAATGATCTTTAAAAAAGCATCATATGACCCCTTTAATCTATTTGAAGGTGTTTGCTTTTGAGCATTGTGAAGGAAAGATCATATATAGCTCTTCATACCTGATTTAGGGCTGATTGGTTTGCAAGAAGGTGAACTGTCGTCTGTCGTCAGGGTTGGCCCCGCCTCTTTTGTTTCATCTTTGATGGACAGTGACTCATCCTCTCTGTCAGTCATGTCCTCAGCCCCTGACTCCGCCCCTGACTGTTCCGGTGAGGTGACATTCACCTCTTCACTCAACTCACAGGGAGGGGGGCATGTGGGGCCACGCCCATCTGAAGGGGAGGGCGGGCCTTGAGCCTCAACAGGCGGAGCTTCTTCTTTCCCCACTTCCTGGGCTCCCTCCATCCCAGCATCCTTCAGCCGCTGAAGCTGCTCTTTCTGCAGGCTGCGCTGCTTCTTGCGGAACTTCGCACGGCGGTTTTTAAACCACACCTGTTAGTGTGAAGACATCATTGTTTGCGAAACTTTAAAGATTGACAATCACAGAATTTATCTGAATAGGGTAAAAATCTTAACTAATAGATATCACCATACTTCCTGGTTAATTATTCACAGTACATTACGGCAATTTTGTATTACAGTTTTCTGAAATCTTATGTTTTAATATGCGAATGAGGTATTGTATGCACTAATTTGCAAACATTTCCAGAATTCTGAATGTTGGATAAAACCAAGTTCAATTTTCTTGCTTCATTTTGTTGAAGGGTTTTTAAAGAAGGAATTTTAGATTTATCTTTTTATCACTCCATTAATCTGAAACACTATCAATCAGTAAGAAACATCAAGAGTTTTTAGGGGGAAAACAGACAAATTATACATGAACAAATCTATCTGTAGATACCTTCAGAATATAAATAAGATTTCATAACTGTGAAGTTTAGTGTATTGTAAGTGCTGAATTGGAGTTTTGGCTGTAGTGTGTCTTCTTAAGGTGTAAAGTTTACAATATGTAACAATGTATAATTCTGCTAACAACCTGCAGTTGACATAGTTGAGTGTATGTTTTGCCTGCATGAGGATTTTTGAAATGATATATTTAATTATTATTTTTTATTCATTCAATTATTCATTCATTCATTTTATTTTTTGTTCGCACTTTTTAGCTCTTGCACTAGTAGACTAACCCCATTGGCTGGTGTCCTCGCGTGTTGTGAACTCACCTGTACTCGAGCTTCGGGGAGGTTGGTGCACATGGCCAGACGTTCTCGCATGACCACATCAGGGTAGTGAGTTTTCTGGAAAGTTTTCTCCAGCGCCTCCAGCTGCTGCGCGGTGAAGGCTGTGCGGCTGCGGCGCTGCTTTCTGTGCTGAGAGCCGTAGCGCGCCTCCAAAATGATGTCTGAACATGTGCAGGATGATAAATTATGCTGAGTTTCATAATATGTAAATCTATCTACCTATCTATCTATCTATCTATCTATCTATCTTTCTATATATCTATCTATCTATCTACACTGTAAAAAAAATCAGTAAAATTTACAGTAAAAAACCGGCAGCTGTGGTTACCGGAATTTTACCGTAAAAAATACAGTAGCAACGTTTTAGGTTTTACGGTTTTAACTTAAATTTACAGTTAAATACCGTAATTTCATTAACTGATATAATGTTAATATACCAACCTTTTGAAGTACTGAAATCTGTTTTGTACCTTTGTAATATACTGATAACCACCAAATGCAGGTGGTGATGAGAAAGTCACATGATGAACCGAAGCCCATCACAAGCAGCTTTTAAATAATAACGTATATAGAAGGTGCACAGTGTCATTCACACAAACACTAAACACCATCACCATGGTAACACACATGAAACTGAAATAATGCAATAAACATTCATTTAACAACATTAGGTGTAACACACAACCCTAATATACAAAACTGATAAGAAAAAACTAAGAAACAGTTATTTCAGCAAAAAAGATCAAATTTGAAATGTAACGCATTCTGGGAATGTCAATTTACGGTTATTCACTGTAAATTATACACTTCCAAAAACGGTATACTACTGTAAAATTACATGTAATGCCCAATACAGTTTTTCACTGTATATAGTAGGGGAAGTTACCGTTAACCATTTAACAGGTTTTTACTGTAGCATTTTTACAGTCTTTTACTGTTAAATTCACGGTCATTTTTTACAGTGTATCTATCTATCTATGGTTATTTCAGGTGAGCGGATATGATTTCTTACCTGCCAGTCTCTCCGCGAGCGTGAGTGCGTGCACGGAGGGCCGGTAGTCTGGCGCGTGCTGCGCATGCTGCGCGGCCTGTTGATGAAGGTTGTACATGGCGCTCAGAGAGTTCATGGCGTGCAGAGAGTAACCATTCACTCCGTAGTGCTGCATCGCGTCCCTCTGATCAACGACAGACAATGCAGATAATTAGGCTACTGTCATGACTAAAAGAATCATCTTATGAGTTCATGGTGCTTTTGAGGTTGCAGTGTGGCATCTAAAAGGATTTTCAGTGATAGTCATATTATAAAGCATATTTAGCATATGAAGAGAACTCAATGCAATTCTATTAGCAGAAATGTATTGTACTAACCTAATTTATCTACCTCTTCTTTAAAATGTTTAAATACGGCACGCGCTTTACATGCATGTCATGTTTTACTATAAATGTTTTACCATAGCCTAAATAATTTATTTCTCGCATATAGGCTATAATTTAAGTTCAAATTAAATCATTTATTCCCCTCTAAAAATTATTTCCCATATGCTCTCTTTGACTAAATGTGCATTGCAATAGAATAGAAGACTCTTACAACAAAAAAGTTGTGTATCAGTCGTAAACAATATAGGCATCTGTGTGTGTTCATAAACTTTCTCTTCATGTGTTTCTTGTAAAACGCATAGCCTAGCCTACTTATTAAGAGCTTTATATTTACACATTTGAAGCTACGCATTTTTGCCATTTTATTTCATTTGTATCGAATAATTAATTTTCAGTGCTCCGTGATACTAAGGTATAAGCTATTGTTTCCTTGTCTTTTTAAGCAAACAATATACTGATTTTTGACGTAATAAATATTACAGAACGATAATGTATCTGATTTATCTGCTTACAATTGTATCTATTCACCTTTATCAAATTAAAGAACGATAATCTTAATGTAAAAAAAAATAATATGGGAAAAAACGTTGTTTTTTAATTCAATCAAACTGAGCGAAAACATTTTATTGTTGATGGCGCATGACATTCGACACAAACGATGATGAATGTTTTCGTTCAGTTTGCAAACAGCCGTGAAAATCTCTGATAGATGGGGTTATGACCGGTCGTCTATCAAATGAAATGTAGGCATTTATATATGAATAATTCGTTTAGATATGTTTAAGACATTTAACAATTTGTATTAACTATTGCGCATTCTCTTTAACAAGAACTGGGCTCGAGGGCATGCTTTTGGCTATATCCATCTGTCAAATGATAAAAAGAAAAAACCCTTGACCTGTCATAATAAACGACATAATAATAATAATAATAATAAAAAGCAGAAGATTGCATTTTTAAAGTATTTTCACAAGGAGAAAGTGTAAGGATTTTCCATTAGTAAGCTTCAGTTTGATCACTCTTTAATCGGTGATAATTGGCTACAGTGGGATTAATCTCTTTATTAGTCATTATTATTTTTTTGAAGCAAGAATAAGTGTAAGCAGCCTGAGGGTTTAGGATTTAGTCCTCACTAAAGAGCCCGTGGCATTTGTGTCACTGACACTAAATTCCCCAATGTAATCATATTCCAGCCACATGGGAATACTTTAATTCGGCTGAACAAAAAGTGCTTTGCTAAACATTTACTTTGCCCTCCCAGTGTTAAGCTCAATCGGTGCTCGTTCTGTCCTTCATCGCCTATGGGCTGCTTCTGCTGAAGATGTATGTATGCATTTATAAATGCATAAATGCATACATAAATGCATACATCCCAGTTGGGCCGCGTCTAATGTTGGTGCAAATAGCTTTGATTACCAGAGTCTGAGATGATGGGACGCGAGCTAGTTTGTGTTGCACCACACTTGGTGCAAGGTTTTTTTTTAACAGGCCACAACAACACGACACAATTTTTCCAAAACAGTTTTTGATTAAAATAATTTTAGGCGATTGACATCGACGACAGGTCACTCAAATATTAGGCTGCATGTATTTGTGTCTTCATTTTTTTTTTCTTAAAATTGTGTTTTTTTTACATTCCATTATAAGTCATTAAGAAACACTGTATACTGCTTAACAAATCAGGGCTTAATGTACATTCAGTATAAATACATATATTTTAATATTTATAAAATATACTTAATGTAAATATATAAATCAGTTTAATAATTTCTAAACTGAATATTGATGAACGAATGATCTATAATTATCAAAATCTATATTAATTTTTATTTTAAAAGGTCAGAATTGTATTAGGCCTATGACTAAATCATCCCGACTATAGTTACAACAGACAAAGTCATTTGTAAATCCGATAGAAATAGGCTAGATGTTGAACAATTTCACATAATACAACGTTTGTTAAAATTGTTATGAAGTTTACATTTTATTAGTCTGGACTTTAAAAAGACTAAGGGACCTAAAGAATAGATTGAACAAAACTAAATTTAGATTTAAAATCTCAGTCAAAAGGATTTAGTTTTATATGAGTGAGTTAAAACAGATAATTTCTCAGTTTTCTGTTTGACGAAAGCAGATTTTCACAGGCTTGTATGAGTTTTGAAAGTGGTTACTCACCTCTCTGAGAAGTTTTTTTCTTCCTCCGAGCAGTAACAACAGCAATTTAGCTGACAATTTACGCAATTAAACAGAAGTGATTTTTGCCAGTCAGTTGTTTTATATCCTGTTGGAAGTCAAAAGTATCCGAGACTGTTTACAGCTGCTCTGTTCTGAGGATTTTTTGATGTTAGTCCTCAAAAAATATCACAGCCTCCCCTGGTCAGCGCGCCAGGAGGTCCCGCCCACCGACCAATGAGGAACGCGATGAGCTCACAGAAGAGCCCCATTGGCTAATTTCACTGTCAGTCACAGGTTTCCCGTCGCCTTCAGTTCCAGCAGTTTTCACGGGTTCCTGCTGACCTGTGCAACGGCATGCTTTTCTGCTGTCTTCATAAATATATGACTAAATCAGTTAAGAAATAATCGCAACATTAGCTGTTATCATAAATAATAATCTAGACATGTTAAAGGTTTTTAAACCTCTAAAAAGGTGCTCTAATTGCAATATATGCTTTTTGAGGTTTCTCATAAACAAATGTGATTTATTATTTTTAAACCATTAATAAACTGCAAAAACACATTTACAGTGTAGAAACAGCCTATCGGTTAAACTCCCAAACAACTGTGACACAGTTGTGATTTTCAAGCTGGATAATTATGAAAAACTCTATATGCACTCTAAAAAATGCTGGGTTAAATACAACCCAGTGCTGGGTAAAATAGGGACAAACCCAGCAATTGGGTTGTTTTGACCCAGAGTGTGATTTTTAAGAGTGTGAGATGTGGAGGGGAAAACTGTTAGGCTATAAACGAATTCACTGTGTTATTTGCGTTACACCTCTGACAAGCTGTTTTTAAGAGGGACCGAAGCAAAGAAGGTGGAGAGAGAATGAGATCTCTAATAGATGGCAGAATCTCTCCCGGCCTGGAGGATTTACAGAGACAAGACGCCATCTCAGCCTTTAAACCAGTCTTAAAATGACGGATGGTAAGAGGATTAAAACAATAATGCCCTTCCCTTTTTCAGACTTTTTTTTTTTATTTTTTATTTTTATTTTTGTAAGATTTCTTCTTTTCAGAGAGAGAGAGAGAGAGAGAGAGAGAGAACGTTTAGGCTGGAATTAAGAAGTGGTCCTTAAATGTAAAACTTGCATATTTTGTTGATATACTGGGAAAAATCGGAGATTCAAGGTGATATTTTCAGTCTTTGCGAATTCATTAAAGCCTTTGTTGATGGGGCACTTTAGATATTTTCTTATTTCATGTTTTATGTATTTATTTAAAAAACGATTGCATTTATTTATTAAACTAAATATCAAATAATTAATGCTACCTCCTTACATAATGATAATCATCTAAAATGGATTAAAATGATAGAACTTGTACTGATCTATCCGAACTTCCTCCTGTTTCTAGCATTTTGTGCACATCTACGGGCATTAGGGTCTAGAAAAAAAATCCGATTAACTTTTGAACCAGTGGAAATAAGAAGTTAAATAGGAGGTAAGTCTGGGTAGTGTCTCTTTGTAAAGACCATTTTTAAGGCAATTAAAGCGAGAAGGAATTCCTCAGTGTCTCAGACTCTAATGCGCATGTGTCCAGCACTTCTGGTGAGTTTTAATAACAACTTAATAGTGCTGACCAACTATTAATAATTATGCTACTTTCATGTCACTTATTGTTGTTAGGCGACCTTCTCTGACCCAAAATGCATCCTTAGCAGTTAAAAATAGTAAGGTATGCCTTACCTCTGTATTCAGTTTGATAGCCTATGACATTATATTATAGCCACCTGTTGAGATTTCTTAAATATGTATATAGCAGGGGAATATAGAGATTGAGAAAAATGAATTTCATTAGTAACTGTGGCATTTGTTATATTGTCTCTCAACTCGGTGACAGGCGCAACAAAAGTGAATGAATGTTCTCTTCAATTCGGTTTCAGTGTGAACACTCTTTAATTACAACTTTAGCAACACTTGCCTCTACAAGGCAATCAAAGTTGCCTTTAAAGATGTTTTAGGCTACTTAGGCCAACATATTCCAGCATTTACAAAGGTTTGAAGGAGGAAGAGTTTTTGAAATTCTAAAGTTGAGTCCCTCTGAGGATGTTTTGCGCTGACCACCATTTCTACCCACTTTTGCTGTTCTGGCCCACATCTCTGTTAACATATTTAGTCTCCGTGGACGTTGTTCTGTGGCATCAATCTCTGTATTTTACTCCAAACAGGCTTCATCACAGAAAGCCTCTTTAGATGATTTAGCATCTTTCCTCTTGGAGATGATACTCTCGCATGGCAGATCTTCAGAACAAAACTTTATCCCCTCTTAAAGCTCAACCAACCAGCCAAAATGTGCAAGCTTACTCAATGAGGTGTCAAACCAACTTTAAACCAATGAGCCAAATGCAATACGCTGGGCTTTAGTCAGCCTACTTGAATTTCATGTTTATGATATGGATGCATCCAAGATTTTATGGTCTGAATTCGATCAAGTCTACCTCTGAGAGACATACTAAAGGAACACTTGCAAAATTTTTGATTTGTATTAGTTACAGTTGTAGTAATGTTGTCATTTTATTCGTTTTTTATTATGTCTATATAGGCTTTTTATTAAGTTTTATTTAATTTTA